TTTTATTAGTGTTTGAGAAGATAACCTTTACAGTTTCTTTTTTCTAGTTAATATACTCTTGGGAAATATTTTAGAGGGTTTTATGGGAAGTTTGTGTGTGTGCATGTGGCAAAGGTTTAGATCATCTTTTCTATATATAAAATGTATAACATTCTTAAAAATTTGTTCTGAGACTTAAGGAGTTTCTAACACATTTTAAGTGTGAGTTTTTATCTTTCTCTCAAATTAGCCTTTGAGATTTGTTATTCTTAGATTGTCTCTTTAGAATTGAGCTCAATAATAGATTTAACTCCGAATTGAAAATTTAACTTATCTTGAATAACTTACCTAATGTGTCTGTGCCTGATTATCCATAAAATAAAGATGATACTCTAAGAAATCACAAGGTTGTAAGAAGCTGTATTTAATTACCTTAACGTAAATTTAAGTTCCTTCGAAAGAGTTTCATATGTTTTTAAGTGGCAGTTATAAGTTTCTTTGTAAGAGGCAGGTGCCCTTTTACAGTATATTTGAGGGCTGATAGTTACGTCCCCCCTCAAAAGTAAGGAGGCAGTTAACTATCATGTTTATATTCCTACTCATTGTCTTCTCCTTTGTCTTATTTTTCCCTGGGATAGTTTGGTAATTACAACCTGCCTTATCTAGAAAAGAGGGAAATAGATAGTCTTTATGGATAGTATTTCTCTGGGGTTTCTGAAAGGCTTTCTTTGCAATCATGTATCTTCCTAAAGATCAAACACTAGGGTTTGATGTTATAACGGCTATTGTTGGCATTATCAGGATTCCTTCCTCATTTGGAGACATGTTCCCAGAGGGGTGATAATAATTATCGTACAGTGGCTCATGCCTGTAATCCCAGCACTTTGGGAGACCGAGGCAGAAGGATTGCTTGAGGCCAGGAGTTTGAGACCAGCCTGGGCAACACAAATGAGACTTTGTCTCTACAAAAAATTAAAAAAATTAGCTGGGCGTGGCGATGCATGCCTGTAGTCTTAGCTACTCAGAAGGTTGAGGCATGAGGATTGCTTGAGCCCTGGAGCTCAAGGTTGCATTGAGTTGTGGTCATGCCACTGCATTCCAGCCTGGGCAAGGCAGTGCAAGGCCCTG